ATTTAAATGAAAAATAGGACACCTTATGTTTGCACTGACACCAAAATTTAAAGGCCACATGATTTATCCCTAGTGCTTTTAAGTATAAAATCTACCACAAACAACAAAGCTGGATTTATTCCCCATCAATTTTAGTGGGGAGCCAATTGTCTGACCCACAACTGGTTGATGGTACCCTGTTCACTTACTGTAAGGCCCTAATGAAATCTGTTAAGACTTTACATACACAGGTCCAAGAGGCCCCTCCTTGTGTCAAAGCTAAGCTATGCTACTCTCTCTAGCCCAGAGAATGGACCTAAATCAATGGGCACCATTGAAAGAATGGCTGCATTCTTATCTTCAATGGCCCCTCTCACACCTGTCATGTGTGCTAGCAGCGCCACCTCCTGGTGGTTCCAGGAAAGAAACTATTCCTGAACAGCACTTGGTTTGCAGAAATAACTGACCCGTATCTATTTAATCCGAAGCTAGGTGGCCCGCTATACAGGCCTGGAGTCAGGAAGACTCATCTTCCTGAGTTCAAATTTGGCCTCAGACACTAAAGTCAAGGCATCACCCTTGTTATGTCATTGGGCCTCTTCGAGAATGAAGGACGAACAACAGCTATGTGACCCTGGGCAAGTCACTTCACCCTATTTGCCTCAGTTTTCCCATCTGTAAAATAAGCTATAGAAGTAAATGGCAAACCACTCCAGTATTTTTGCCAAGAAAACGCCAAATGGGGTCACAAAAAGTCAGAGATGACTGAACATCTATTTAATACTCACAATGTTCCAAAATGGGATGATTTGGGAAGGTCACAACTATTTTTGGGAAAGCTTCCAATCTAAGCACACTCTCTAACTTATCCAGAGACCCCTCCCGTGGGAGATCAAAATACTCCTATAATGATTTAACTGGACTGACTGTTATACAATCACTTGACCTTACTGGTGGCTGTTAAACCTATATGTTAGGCCCTATGGTTTAGTATGGCAGCTGCTCCTATGGCTATGTTTTTTCATAGCTAGTTAGCTGGCTTGGGTCAATTAATAATTGTTATTAATGCTGAAGAAATAATAATAATAATAACAACAACAACAACAACAACAACAATAATAATAGCTAGCAATTATATAATGCTTTAAGGTTTGCAAAGCATTTTACAAATATTTCATTTTATTCTCACAATGACTCTGGGAGGTAATAGGTTCTATTTGTACCCCCATTCTACAGATGAGGAAATTGAGGCACATAAAGGTGAAGTGATGTGCCCAGGATCACATAGCTAGCAAATGTCTGGGGTAGGATTTGAACTCAGGACTTCATCTCAATCTAACTGCCCTATTGTTGTTAAAGATGTGCCCTAAATAAAAGTTCATCTTCATATGGCACTTTAGGGTTTGCAAAATGCTTGACAATACATCATTTCATTTGATTTTCACAATTACAGAAGGTAAGTACTCTATGGATTCTCTGGAGACACAAGGCAGCCTATTATGGATTAAGACTTTTCTGTATTCCAAGTCATTTCTTAGATGGTAGGCTATCCTTCTGAAATTTTTATCCATACACAAATGAGTCAACTCCACAAAACCAGAACATTTTAAAGTACTATAAAGTACTTTTTATCCCACTGCTTTGGGGCCAACTTAGTGAATTTTTGAGGCACAGCAACTTTCAAAGATTATCTATGTCATATGGAGGGGTTGCAATCTACAAATTTGCAAATAGGGTTAAGTGACTTGCCCAGAGTCCTGACTCTGAGCAGCTAGGTGGCATAGTGGATGGAGTGCCAGGCCTGGAGTCAGGAAGACTCCTCTTCCTGAGTTCAAATTTGGCCTATCTATTTGCTTAGCTGTGTGACCCTGGGCAAGTCATTTAACCTTCTTTGCCTCCGTTCCTTATCTATAAAATGAGTTGGAGAAGGAAATAGTAAACCACTCTGGTATCTTTGCCAAGAAAACCCCAAATGGGGTCACAAAGAGTCGGACTGGACAGAAACAACTCAACAACTTCCTGACCTCAGGTCTAGTGCTCTGTGCACCATGGCACCACCTGGCTGCCTCTGGGTGGTTGCAAAGAGAATAGAAAGATAGTGTCTGAATATGGCATCTTACAGAATTAGTAAACAGCAAGATTTGGCAACTGATTGGATATGTGGGGTGAAGGAGACCTAAAGCCTTTGATGCCTCCTTTTGATGCCTCCTTATGGCATGGAAGCGACTCATGAAATCTTAAAGGCTGTGCCAACCCTCTATAAATTCACAAAGGAGAGGCTCATCGCCAAGCAGCTGGAGGAGAATGAATTTCATCTACAAAAACTCTCAACTACCATCTGCTAAATCACACAGTGACTGTCATCTGTACTGGGAGACACAGACCTTCAGAGTGGTGAAGCAGCTAGCATAGTGAAGCGAGGCCTAACCATCCATATGCTGCTGCTGTCACGAACTGCTATCTTGTGTCATGCTAGCAAGCTTGAATCAAATAGTGATTTTTTAAAATCAATCAGCAAAGATCATCCCTTTTGTCTGCCCATTCTTCCCCCCACCCCAAATGGAGAACAAAAGAGAAACAATACCCCTATTACAAATATGTATCATAAAGCAAAACAAATTTCTATATCAGCCATATACAAAAGTAAACTAAATAAATAATTGACCTTCCTAGTGTATTACTTTCCCCTTCCCTTTCCATTTTTTTTTTGAGCCCATCAGGGTTAAATGACTTGCCCAAGGTCACACAGCTAGAATGTATCTGAGGTGAAATTTGAACCCAGGTCTACCTAACTCCCAAGTCCAACAGTCTATTTACTGCGCCACCCTTCCTTGCACATCTTAGCATTACAAATTGCTGCATGGAATGTAGGGAAGAGAATAATGAAGGGGAATATGCATTTACTAAGGACCAACTATGTGCCAGGCACTGTGTTAAATCTTTTTAAAATATTAAATTTGATCCTCACAACATCCCCATGATGTAGGTGCTATTATTATCCCCATTTTATAGTTGGGACACTGAGGCAGACAAAGATTAAGTGACTTGTCAGGGGTCACACAGCTAGTAAATGTCTAGGGCTACATTTGAACTCAGGTCTTCCTGAGTCCAGGCCCAACATTCTATCTACTGTCCACCCGGCTGCTTGGGCAGGGATTCCTGTGGCCATTAGGCACTTTAATCTGTACCACTGAAGTAACAGCTTCTTTCTCTGTGTCCTGGGGCTTGGCTTACTTACGAGAGGTAGCTGTTTTGATACTTTCTCAAAGAATTTGAGTATATTCTCTGGCCAACCCGGCTGGCCATCTTTCTGTTCCTCACGTGTAACATTCCCAACATCTCCCAACTTCAGGCCTTGGCACGTTCCCCAAAGGCATGGAATGGCCGCCTTCCTCATCTGCACCTCCTGTAATCCTTGTCTCCCTTCAAGAGGCAGCTTAAGCACACTTTCTGTATGAGGCCTTCCTTTGATCCCCTCAACGGCCAGTGCCCTCCCTCTCAAATTACCCTGTGTTTAACTGTTTCTTATTTCTTCTCTTTTTTGTTATAGGTCCAGTCAGAATGGAAGCTCCATGTGAGTGGGGATTGTTTCGTTCATTGTACTTTTATCCCTGGACAGTCGTCTTGACTTTTGTCTTGCCTCTGGACTTAGCACAAGGTAGCTGTATAATAAATACTTGCTGATGGGCAGCCTGCCGAAGCCATATGCTAGATGCCCAGACTATAGTACATATTTTGTTTTTGCTCTTGTAAACTCTGTTAATATGGGGGCGAGGTGAGTGTTTTAAAAAATTTAATTACAAACTCTTATGCTTTGTGCAAGAAACAAAACTCATGCTCAGGAAACTCATTAGGAAGCAGGTGTGTGACTGTGGGCAAGTCATCTGCTCTAAGCCTCAGTTAAAAGGGGGTAATAATAGGGTTGTTAGGAAAGTACTTAAGTGCTTTAGAAATATTAAAGTGCTGCATAAACACAAATTAGTATTAAATAACACTGAGCATTTGTATGGCACATTTACTTGAAGAGTAATTTTATTTTTTCAAAGTGCTTTTCAATCTTTTTTTCCCTAGATTTATGATTTCTTTTTCTTTTTAATTTTATGGACTGCTTTTGTTATATTTCTTCCCCTTTTTCTCCCTGGACATCCATCTCTTAAAACAAAGAATAAAAAAATGAAGAAAGTAGTTTAGTAAAATTAATCAATATACTATAATTTCATTATATGGAAAATCACTCCACAGATGCAGGTTAGCAACCCATCTATAACTTATAGTCTCTTAGAGATGTTTGAGATAATCATATGTTAAGCTACTTGCCCATGGTCACACAGATATATGTGTCAAAAGAAGGATTTGAACCCAGGTTTTTTGACTTCCAGTCCAGCTCTTTCTTCAATATGCCACACAGTCCCTTGTTTGATATTATTATTTTATTCTCATGCTATCTTTCTAAGATAAGCAGCAGGTATTATTATGGCCATATCCCAAAGGTGAGGAAAATGAAGTTAACAGATCCCATCCTGCATAGTGTGAGAAATAATTAATTTGGACCCCTACTCTATTCCAATCAGTATTAATCATTGACATTTTACATAAATCATATAGAGATAATTAGATAAGATAGGTTCTTATATAATGGGCCTCAAACTTTAATGTAATGTTCACTACTTTGTTTACCAAGTGAGGAAGGTCTGGGCTCCACTTCATTAGATGGCACCATGGACCCTTTAATGTACATTAAAAGACCACTGGCTTAAAGCTCTGCCTCAGTGGTTTTTCTTGCAGACTGAGTGATTATAATCCCTACAACAGGTTGCAGAGAGAGTTAATGCATGGCTATCATAAGTAGATGATGTATTTCCAGCAGATGATGCATTATCACCACTAACATATTATTCCAGCCCAACAGCCTGGGCAGAGAAGACCCTAAAACTCTTCTAAAGCAGAGCGGAAGGAGAGGAGGGTACAAGATTACGAGACAAGGTTAGCTCTTTCATCACCCAACCCCTCGGGCCCTTTACCTATGGCAAACTCCACTAAGGTATCGCTGTCCTCGCTCAGTACATCAAGGAATAAGTCCAACACTTGCAGCTCCCGGAGATGCTGGTAGTTGTTGGGGTCATAGGCAAAATTTGCTAGATTGGCCAGGACCTGCTCCTTGGCTTCTGTAATGGAAAGGAAACATCAGAAAGTGGACGAGGGACACTGTCCCTTGGAACAGAAGAGGGGGAAGGGAAGGGTCAGGGATTTTCTCTCAGGAAAGTAAATGTCAACGTTATTAAGGGGTGTTAATTGGCCATAAAAAAGTTCTAACCAGGTTCTTAGAGTTGAGGTGTAAACACTCAAATGTTCAAGAGAATGAGGCTGAAAATCTCAACCAGTATAGAGAATGGGGTGACTTGTGACACTCAAGCTACAATGTTTGTATTTCTGCCACAGCTGTGGTACCATTTTCTGAATATCAGGTGTAGGCATTGATCTACCACCTAGAGAAGGTGATGGGACTACCAGAATATATCTCTAGACTCGAGGTTGTTTGGGAGAATGAAGGGTTCCTAAGGAAAACAGAAGACTCCAATGGTAAAAGAAGGGATAGGACATGACATCCACGCTTGACATACTGGACATCCTTGTAAGGATAATGGAAGATGGAAAAGAATTAAATAGGAAAAGAAGAGCTGTACCATTAGGACTTAAAAAGATTACAAGCTCTTCCTGAAGGGAGAGCCGGAGGCTGTGAGGAAGACGAAGTTGCTTGTCCTCTAGAAGAGAGGCACAGTTCTCAGGCAGGAGAGGATCCCACAAGGGGACAGTGGAAAAAAGTGAGAAGAGTCACAGTAACTAGTGATTCCCTGCTCACAGAGATTGGGTCTGGCTATTTGTTGGGGCCTGAAAACAACAGAGAAGTGTGCTGTCTTCCCAAAGTATGAACCCAAGGGGGACCCTACCGAGACTTGTCCAAATGGATGACAATTACCCACTTCAAGTCATACACATAGGTACAAGTGACCTCTGCTGAAAGCACCTTAAAAAGAACCTCTCTCTCTCTCTCTGCGAAAGGCAGAGCGGCTAAGAATTTCTTAACTTGCCTTGGTGAATTTCATCCTTCAAAAGGTGGAGGAACCAATTAGGAGAGATTCTTTTCTGGATCTGAATCTCACTAATTGAGAGAACCTGGTTGTTGGGCTAGAAACAATGGGAATCCTGGAGGGAAGTAACCACTCCTTCCTAAAGTTTGCAATGGAGGAGAGGGGGCCATCTCTAGTAGTCCTAATCTATTTCTTGCCACTGGACCCAGATGGCTCTGGAGGAAAAAGTGATGCTGGTGACCCTGCACAGCACTCCCTCACTTAAATCCATTTCACCTGCAAGTCTTCTTGATATCATGGTCCTCTTTGAGAATAAAGGACAAATAACAACAATGGAGGAGAAGAAATCTAGGCACTGTCTGACACGTACCCTAAATTAGGGGAAAGAAGATTTCAAAGAAGAGAGAGATAGGATCCCCTGGATCAAAATGCCCCAAAGGAAAGAAGCCTAGAAGACCGAGGGCAGATGCTCAAGAATGAAAATCTGAAAACACAAAAGGGAAACAATTCTAATGAGAAAGAGAAACTGAAGAGACTGATGTGGCTACAGAGGGGATTCACCAACCAACTTAGATTTAAAGGATAAATTTACAGTAGATGGAAGCAATGATGAGTAACAGAGAATTAATATAAGCGTGTAGCATTGTTCTGTAAAAAAAAAAATGAAATGAATGCTAGAGCTCAAGATGAGTTGAAGCTATGGATGGCAACTAAATACAACAATGACAACAAAAAAAGATTCATTTTAGCTCTCCTGGGAGGAAAAAAAGGATCCAAGAAGCGATAGAGCTTCTGCTTGGGGTAGATGGGATGTTGATAACTAACAACAGAGAGAACCCAGAGCTGCTTACTTATTTTGTTTCTGTTTTTTCTGCCAAGGAGAATGACCTTTAGGGTGGAAATGACAAAACAAAATCAACTAACAGGAAATTGATCCCCAAGATAATTAAAGAGATGATAAGAAAGTGCCTCTTTACCCTTGATGAAAATTCACCTGGCCCAGATGAACTAACTACATCCTTAGGTCCTGAAAATACTTGCAGATGTGATCACAGAGCCACCGTCGGTGATATCTGAGACAGCTTGAAAACTGGAAGAGGTGCCATGGGTTTGGAAAGAAAGGCAAATGTCTCCCTTTTCAAGAAAGGCAAGAAAAAGCCTACAAAATATAGACCGATGAGCTCAATTTCAATTTTTGGGAAAGTCCTAGATCAGATCATTAAAGGAACATCTTGGTGAACATCCAGAAGGGAAGTGGTGATTATGAAGAGCCAGCATTGGCTTCATGGAGAACAGGTCATGCCCAACTCACCTCATTTCCTCTTTGTCAAGGTTACTAAACTGGTATGTGAGAGAGAATGCTGAATTTAAGAATGGCTCATCTAGATTTTAGCAAAGATTTTGATAAAGTATCTCATACAATTTTCATGGAGAAGATGGAAAGATGGATTAGATAATATAAATCAGATGATTTCAGAACTGGTTAGATAGCAAAATTCAAAGAATAGCGTTAATGCTTCAATGAAAACGGAGCAGGATGTCCAGTGGAGTACCCAAGGGGTTTGTGCTTGGGACTGTACCAATAACATTTTTAGCAATGACTTGGAAAAAATCCTAGATGACATCCTCATCAAATCTGCAAGTGACACTAAGGTGGGAGAGATAACTAATACAATGGATGACAGAGTCAAGATCCAAAAAGAAATCTTGACAAGCTACAGCATTGGGCTGAATCATTAATAAGACAAAATTCAATAAAGATAAATGTAGAGTCTTGCACTTGGGTACCAAAAAAATCAACTTCAATACAGGGAGGCATGGTGAGACAGCAGTCTGGAAAAGATCTGGAGGTTTTAGTACAAGGGCAGTCTGAGTCAGCAACCAAAAAAAGCTTAATGTGATCTTGGGCTGCATTAACTGGGGCACAGCTCCCAAGAACAGGGAGACGATAATGTCACTGTACTCTGTCCTTGTCAGACTTTATCTGTTATAATCCAGATGTGTTTCAGCATGTTCAGTTCTGGGTGTCCTGTTTTAAGAAGGATGTCAGGGATAAGCTAGAGTGACCAGAGGAGGGCAACCAGGATGCTGAAAGACATCGAGTCCATGACATATGGCCACCTGAAGGAACCTGACATGTTTAAGGTGTAGAAGACTTGGTAGGGAATCAGGAAGGCGGGGTGGTGGAGGTTGGGGGAATGGAAGAACAGACATGATTCAAGTAATTGAAAGGCTATTAAACAGAAAAGGAATGAGGCTTATTCTGTTTGACCTGAGAGTACAAAACAAGGAGAAAAGGATAGAAATTGCAAAGGGACCAATTCAGGCTCAATGTCAGGAAAAACAATGAGAGCCGTCCCAAAGTGGCATGGTCTCCCTTGGGAGGTACTAGGTTCCCCCTCCTTGGAGGTCTTCAAGTGGAGGCTGGATGAGTTCTTGGTAGGTACGTTACAGTGGGGATTCCTTTGGTGTAGAGGTTAGACTAGAGAACTGCAGAGGTCCCTTCCTTCTCTCAGGTAATGAGACCTCTTTCTCCCCTTTCTCTTCAGAGCCTAGCTGGTCAAGCTTAAGTGAGTGATGTGCTCAGCCAGGAAGGTAACTCTTGGAATCTTTTAGCAATGGAGAAAATGAAATGAGACAATAGGTGCTGAAGGGGAAAAAAAACCCATATAATGAGAGAAACTCATTTGTCAGGAGAGTGAGTTGCTGTTGTTCTCTGTTTCTGTTTTTTAATTTAAGTTGAGGAAAAAAAAACCCTTGCAAAATATTAAAAAGGTGACAGTCCCACCAGTGGAGATTTGTTTTTCTGATAGACTGGAAATTGTGTAATAAACATAACATTGTTGATGCTATGGGACCTGACCGGTGATTTCACTGCTGTAGGGAGTTTCTAGTGGCAAGCTTACTCCACTAAGGCAGGTACCTGGTATTCCTACTGCAGCTTATAGTCATAGGAAGTTGCCAGGTTATCCAGCCACTATGTGTCTAATTTGGATTAGTTGCTGTTCAGTCGTGTCCAATTCTTCATGACCGCATTTGGTCTTTTCTTGGCAAAAATACTAAAGTGGTTTTGCCATTTCCTTCTCCAACTCATTTTAGAGATGAGGACACTGAGGCAAACAGGATTAAATGATTTGCCCAGGGTCATACAAGTAAGTGTTTGAGACCAGATTTGAACTCAGGTCTTCCTGCCTCCAGGTCCTGCGCTCTATCTACTACACCACTGTAGCCCAAAAGAAATGTGAGATGTGCAAATTTAGAGCCATCTCCACGCCAAATGTTCACATGGACTATTTGTGCCCAACCTGGGGTAGAGCCTTCTGAGCTCATGTTAGTCTGATCAACCATTGTCAGACACATTGTACCTTGACTCCAACATAGTGATGGCATTTTGGTCCTTTTAGAGAATGAAGGACGACAATGAAGTCTAATTTGTAACAAAAACATGAAAATAATAAATGGCATGTGAGCTGTTTTTTTTGGGGGGAGCAGAAAGCAAAGGATGCTGGGTCTGACAGTCCCCCCCCCCCCACCTTGGCTTGCTGTCTCCTGGAACTCGGTGACCAATGCCTGCAGGTATTCCAGTCGTCCTCCCTCTGGCACAAGTCGAGGCTTTGGGTCCATGACCAGGGTGTTCTGGGAAACACCTTAGAAGGTGTTTTTGAATAAGCAGCAGAGCTAGACAGGAAGAAAATTTATAAAGAAATATAGAAAACATCATGAAGGAAAAGTGGAAAGGTGAGAACCATTGCCCTCGGTCTCATGCAGTGAGATAGACAGCTAAGTTGGTCCCTCTGTATATATATCCCAGACTGGCATGGCAGAAGATTAGATGGGCCCAGAATTAACTAAGAGTAAGAGGTGAGCTGGACTGTATTTGGAAACCTCAGTGTTTTGTGACCACAAGCTTGCTCCCTAAAAGAAAAATCTGACTTAAAAACCAATATTCCTCCAGCAATGGTGGCAAATCATGAACCAACACAATCTACCTCACCAGATTGCTATCTCAAATGGGATCATGTACATAAGCACTTTGCAATTTTGAAAGCATTGTCAGTCATCAATGAATATCATTATTTTTATTAATATTATTATTACTAAAAATTAAAATTTCAAGTAACCCAAAGGGGAGATGGAGAGGTGGGCGTATATAGGGTACGTCACATAATCAGGGATGGATGATGCACAAAAAATTGTTTAAAAATCAAAGATGAGAAAGCTGGGAATGAATATAAATAACCACCACAACAATAAAAACAGAAAGAACAATAAAACAAAACTCAATGTTGCATAATTATAATGACCAAGATTGGCCTCTGAGAAAAGATGGGAAAATGCACCTTCTTCCTTCTGCCAAAAAGGCAAGGGACTATGGATGAGGAGTATTGCATACATCATTAGCAATGGTTGAAGAATTGGATGGTTTTGCTGAACATTTCTTCTTTTTAAATTTTTGTCACAAGGCTTGATGGGTATGGGAAGTGAGAGGGGCATAGTTGGAAATCAATGTGATATAAAAGCAAAAAACATCAATAAAACTTGGTTGAAAAATTATAATCAGGGACTGATAACAGGAAAAGGTGGCGGGCCAGTCCTACATGAGAATGAAGGATAACAGCTGTATGGCTTCAGTGCTGCACTGGTGTCACTTAATGTTAAAGAGACCTAGAGGAAGGTCTCCTATATTATGCTCATGTAGGAGAGGAATGTAGGAGAGACCAAAGAAAAGAACTGCACAGGATAAGGTATGGATGGACTGCAATTTGGATCAGTGGATGGCACACTCACAGAAATGCTCACAGGTCAACAAGCAAAGAGCATCCATTTAAGTCATCTATGTGACACATGTCCCAAAAAGGAAGGAAAGGAGAAAGAGAGGAGAGGGGAAGGGAGGGAGGGAAGAAGGAAAGAATGGAAGAAGGAAGGATAAAAAGAAGGGAGAGAGGGAGGCAAGGAGAAAGGGTGGAAGGAAGGGACGGAAGAAGAAAGGAAGAAAGCAAAGGAGAGAGGAAAGAAAAAAGGGAGGGAGGAAGGTGGAAGGAAGAAAAGAAGGGAGGAAGGGAAGGAGGGAGGGAAGGTAGAAGGGAAAGAGGAAGAGAGGAAGGAAGGGAAGAGGGAAGGGAGTGAAGGAGGAAAGGAGGGAGAGAGGGAGGAAGAAAGAGAGAGAGAGTAGAAGGAAGGAAGGGAAGGTACCAAGCCTTCATTAAGTATCTATTATGTGCTAGAAGTTGTGCTAAGTGGTTTACAAATATTATTTAATTACAAAGAGCTGAAATAATGTCCAGGGCCAAAAGGGCCCTGATGCCCCAGCTCAGTGCTCCTGTCAATACACCACTGCAGGTAACAAAGAGAATCAAAAATAGAGCTGGGAGAGACTCTGGGAGTTATCTCATCCAACACCCCCCCCATTTTATGGATGAGGAAGACGAAGTCTACAGAGGTAAATGATTTACCCAAGGTCATACAATTCTCAACCACTAGAGTCTGATTTTGAAAATGGTGTCTGTACTCATGACCTCCAGATTCTCGGCTTTCCATACCTTCTCAGCTCTTGGCAATGTGGCCTCTGACCACATCACTCAACTGCAAAGACTCTCTTCAAAGTTAACAAGGGATCTCCTAACTGTCAAATCTAATAGTACCCCCGCCCCAATCCTTACCCTTCTGGACCTCTCTGCAGGGATTGACACTCTGTTGGCCACTCTTTCCTCCTAGATCCCCTCTCCTCTCTGGGTTTTCATGACTCTGTTTCCCTCCTATCTGCCCACCTTTTTACAAAATCTCCTTTTCAACTATCCCATGCCCCCGTTGGTTTACCCCAAAGCTTCGCCTGAGCCCTTTTCTCTACAATCTCACTTGGTGACCGCAGCTATTCTTATACGTTTAATTATCTATATGCAGATGTGTCCTAAACCTATATATCTGGCCCTTTTCTCATTCCTGAGTTCCTGACTTGTATCTCCAAGTGCCTACTGGATGTTTCAAACTAGATGTGCTGGACGCACCTTAAAGCATATCCAAAACTGAACTTCAAATTTCCCTATTCCTGCTGAAGGCAGCACCATTCCCTCAGTTACCCAGAACTGAAACCTAGGTGTTATCCTTGATTCCTAACTCATCCATTATATTCAACCAGTTGTTAAATCCTGTTAATTCTACCCTTGCAGCATCTCTCCTACAAATCCCTTTCTCTCCTCTGATCCAGCCATCACGCTGGTGCAGGCTGTTATCCCTTCATACTTGGACTATTTCAAAAGCCTGTTGGTCTTCCTGTCTCAAATTTGTCCCCACTCCAGTCCACCTTCCACTCAGCTGCCAAAGTCATCTTCCTAATGTGAAGGTGTGACCATGTCAATGGGGAGCCAAGTGTCGCTCTATCTCCAGGACAGAAAACAAAATCCTCTGGTTGGTTTTTAAAGCCCTTCACAACCTGGCCCTTTCCTACCCTTATGGTCTTCTTATACCTTGCTCCCCCCTACTCTGTAATCCAATGATGTTGGGCACAGGCATTCCATCTCCTCTATCAGTGCATTTTCCCAATGAACTGAGAATTCCCACTGCCTGGAATTTTTTTCCTCTTCATCTCGGTCTCCTGACTTCCTTCCACTAAAATCCCATCTACTCCAAGAAGGTTTTCCTGGACCCCCTAAAGCTAATACCTCCCCTCTGTGATTATCTCCAAGTCATTCAGCAAATATCCTGTTTGTAGAAAGTCCTTTGCATGTTGTGTCCATTACACTGTGAGTCTGTGGGGGCAGGGGCTGTTTCTACCTTTCTTCCGATCTTCAGCGCTTAGCCCAGGGCCTGGCAAACAATACATGCTTAATAAATGCTTGTTAACCTGACTTCACTTTGCATTGGTCTTCTTTCATGCCTGGAATGCACTCTCATATCTACCTCTTGCACTTGTTTCCTTCAAAACTTCGTTCAAGCACCACCTTCTAATAGATGCCTTTCTTGAGTGCCCTCTCCCTTGTTTACACTATAATTATTTTGCACACGCCTACGTAATTATATGTGCTCTTCCACTCCCTACACCCCATTCTATGTAAGCTCCTTGAGGAACTCCCCCCCCATTATTCCCAATGAGTGGCATACCGTCGTAGCATAATAAATGCTGGTTGACTGCTTGATTGGACTTAGGTGCTGATTCCAGAGCTAGTGTTCTAGAGCTGGCCCTTCTCCCCAACACACATGGTCTAGGTAAAGACCAAAGCAACACAACAAAAACAATTTCCTGAGTTTCAAGAATCCTGCCTCGATTTCCTTAAATCTCACTATGGGGGATGGGGGCAAGGAGAGAGACTCAGGCAGGCGCTGGGGCAAAAGCAATGGGCTCCACAGACAGGAAGTCGCCGGGATCTGTCGCTTCGGGACTGATCTGGGGACGAGTGAAGCGCCCTCTCAAGAGCCCCCAACCACCGCCCCAACCTACCGCGCTCGCTCAGCAGCTCCGTTCCTCCCGAGCGGAAGAAGGTGCTGACCCCGCCCCCAGCCGGCGGAAGGGGCGTGGCCAAGCACCGCCCTTAGGAGATCCCAGCGGGAGGAGGGGCGAGCGATACCGAGCGAGGTGGGAGCTGAGGGAGAAAAGCACGGGAATTCTAGGGCAGCGGAGCTAGGACTCTGGCTAGACGCCAGATGGGGACTCTGAGACTGGGGGATAATAACAGCACCTAACTCAGGATGGTTGTCAGGATTAATTACTAAATATTCATCTCAAATGAAATTAATGTTTGGAAAGCAGTCTGCAAACCTTAAAGCACTATATAAATGGTACATATTATTATTGATTCAGTCCTGCCAGCTTGGCCCCCTTGCCTTTCTTTACACACAAACCTCCATCTTTTCTTGGTGCCTTTGCACAAGCAGTCCTCCTTTGTCTGGAATGCACTCCCTTCTTGCTTTTGTTTCTTTCAGTCCTAGTTTCCTTCAGATATCATCTCAAGCACCATCGTCTACATGAACCCTTTCCTGATTCAATTAGCTGTTAGTGCCTTTCCCTCCTCTCCCACTCCTTCAACTAAATTTTCTTTCATGAGGGGGCAGCTTGATCTAGAGCTGCCCTAGTAGTCTGGAGCAATGTTTTCCAGAGTGGGGGGTGAGCACCCTGAAGGACTGTGGCCTGGCACCAAGAAGGCCAAAGTCTGATTTCAAAGGGTGTGACAAAAACACAAGAAATTAGGAAGATTAATGAAGCCTGCTCCCATTCCATTTCCTTTCTTCCTGGCTTGTGGTGAGTGTGTCCTACTTAATCCTATTAGGACTAATAAACCTAAATTTTTTTTTTTTTTGGTGATTAGGCAATGGGGTTAAGTGACTTGCCAAGGGTCACACAGCTAGTAAGTGTTATGTGTCTGAGGCCAGATTTGAACTCAGGTCCTCCTCAATCCAGGGCCGGTGCTGTATCCACTGTGCCACCTAGCTGCCACCCATAACCTAAACTTGGGCCAGTCCAGGTGGAATGGAAAGCAAAATTCCTTGTCTCCTCCACTATCCTCACACCCAAATCCCTTCAGCAGGTGGGCTTTGCCATCTGGGGCAGTCAAAGATAAGATCTTGGGGGCAGCTAGGTGGCACAGTGGATAGAGCACCAGTCCTGGATTCAGGAGAATCTGAGTTCAAGTCCAGCCTCAGACACATAACACTTACTAGCTATGTGACCCTGGGCAAGTCACTTA